CCAGTCCTCCCAAAATAATTCCAGTCTTGAGTCAGACATTACTAAGCTTCCTGCTACAACAGTCACAGATGGCAGCCTGTGCAAATAGATCTTTGCTGGTGTGCGTTGGAAGAAGCAGTCTGGGGAGTATTTGGAGGCTTACCAGATGTTAACTATCTTTAGTTAGAGGTTGGTGAGTCTGCTGGGACTGTGTAACCTCTGCAAGGAGAGGTGATCCTCAGCAGGCTTCAGTAGACAGCATTTCCTATTTTGTGGTGAAATGTAACTCAGATTTGATCTCTTCATCATAATAAAAATATTATTAGAGTTTCTTTTGAAGTACTGGGAGGGAGTAGGTGGGGGAGGAGAAATCTAGTAAACTGAATGTAAAGCTTGCAAATGTTCCCAGGCATTGCCAGCTGGCTATAGATTTTTCTTGGCTCTTGTTGCAAGCCCTTTTGAACTATATGAAATGCAAAGGCCCATGATGGCCCCATAAGCAAATTCTTTGAGTGAAAGGATAACACTGTCAAAACCCTTTATGGTTTTTACATCAACTAAGCTACAAGTAAAGGTGGATATTTGTGGCATAAAAATACGAGACTGTGTGCTTTGCAAAAGACTTTAGTCCTAGTTTACCTTCATTCACAGACTCCCTCGTGTGTTTGTGTCAGCGATCCAGTCAGACAATTCCCTCTGTCCCTTGACAAGCATATCAAGTGCATGCCTGCAATCTGGAAAGTCAGTTGATGCCATCTGGTCAAGTGCTAATGAGGCTGCTGGAATGCTAGCGTCAAATGTTACCTTAACCTAAGCAGACTCCATGTGAGATGATGCTAGACTTTTCCCTATATCTTTCATATACTGGCACAGTTGAACTCTGACCGTGTGATTCCTCACTGAGTTCTATCAGCTGCTCTGGGTGAAAATGGGGGCATTCTGTACTAAGACCCTGTGCAGCCGTAGTATGTAAGTGATATCAGTGTGAAGAGACAGCCATATATTGAACAGTATGAAAAGACCAGTTCTTTCCTGTAGTAGCCCCAAATGAGAAGCAAGGAAAGGTTTTACATCTATTAGGTGCTCTTGAGCCTTCCACCTAATATTAGAGCTTTCGTTGTTTATTTCATGTGCAACCTTTCACAAATGTCTTCAAATATTTTTTGTCTATATGGAAGCCTGTGCCCTGGTGATTTTAATTTGAAAAGGTCTGTAGGTGTGTCACAATTCTAGTGTGGCAGAACTTGCTTGAAGTTTTGGGTGGTAAGTGCTTAACCTATCTTGTATTAATATGGTAATATATGATAACATCATGTTTGAGTAGCCCTTCTTGAGTGCAGGTGGGAACAACTGGTGAGTTTTAGTGTAGCAATACTCCCAGCAGTGTGTGAAGGAAGTCCTATCACTCCTGCATTGTGGACTGAAATAATCTATTTCCTATGCTTTTGTTTTTTCTGAATTTTTCAAGTGGGAGACCTGAGTTTGATTCTTGGTTACATTTGGAAGTCAGAGCAATGCCCAAAGCTAGGCCTTTTCTACTTTGTGGAATGTACTATCTCGGCCACTAGAAGTGTATCAGAATGACAGAGATAAAGGTACTGATTATAGAAAGTCATGAAGCCTCACAGAAAGAAGATTGTGGTGCCAGGCTGTGGGAGTGTGAGTTTTCCTCTCCTCCATAGGGCTCTGACTGCAACATTGATCAGTGCCATTGCTTGACTGCTTTTTAATCAAGTGACTTTACTCTGCCCTTTGCTCCCTACCTGAAGAGTGCTCCTGTGAAAAACCTGCCTTCTGCTGAGAGCAAAGTGACATGAAATCTCTTTGTACTAGTGCTCTGTTCCTTGCAGAGAACAACAGGTAAAGGATCTTATTTATGTCTTACCATCAAGAGGATAAAGTTTGTTGAATTTGTTACAGTCTGTGAGTTCAGGTATCTCCTCCTCTGCCTTCCAGTTACTGTTACTATTTCTTGTTTTCGGGAAAATCATTCTTATCTTAACAATACACACTTGCTGCTAGCTGTTGCTAACTGATGAATAGCTAACGTTTTTCATTATTGGATATCGAGTTAACATGTCTGGCTCAGTTGTGTTCTGCCCCTGGAGCAGCAAAGATAGAATTAAATCCAAGCACCGAAGAGAATTTCAGAGATGAGGACTAACAGAAAAAACAGTACTGCTGCAGTGAATGCTGCTTATAAATTTTGTGCCAAAAAAACGTTAGTGCAACATCACTAATGAAGTTGAAGGCCAGATTTTACACAGCTGCAAATAAAATTAATGCTGTGTTTTGCTGTATCTGCACTGATCTTTCCCACTATACATCTCACATATTGCACAGGAGAGGTGGTAAGGATAGCTGCTGGTGTCTGCCTGCCCACAGAGGTGCAGTGGTGTTGGGGCTGTGCTAAGGAAAGTGATTCGGATGGATATCTTCAGAAGGATAGATCTACAGACTGGTTTTTACCAGACATATCTTAATGTTTAATAATTAAAGTTTCCTATTTGCATGGCTAAGCAGTTACTGTTATGTGAAGCCAGAGGGAATGGGACACATCATTAATTATCTTGAGAGCGGAGGAGGGGTTCCACTTCATGTGCCTGTGTGCAGGTTTGTACCATGGAGGAGTCCTGCCTCTTCTGGGAGTATTTTGGGAGTGCCCTGGGAGGCTTACTAAGGGCTGGTTAGCGAGGCAGCCCTTACTTTCAAGAGCCAGAACAGCATTTGTGATGGCCTGCAGTAAACTGAGCTCAAGCAATTGAGCATAGATATTGATTTATTAAGGAGTTTGGGCATTGGAAATTTTCATCCCTTGGGAATATCTGACTGGGAATGTTGCTGATACTATTGGATGCTTTGCTAAACCCAAGGGAGAATCAGGTGTGGCTGGAACATTTACTGGTGAAGACTGAGGCAAAAAAGTTGTTGAGTGCCTTGGCCTTCTCCGTGTCCCAGGTAAGCAGGTATCCTGTTTCCTTACCAAGGAGGACCCACATTTTCCTTTTATCACTGATATACCTAAAGAAGGTTTACTTGTTGCCTTTGACATCTCTGGCCAGATTTTAATTTTTAATTCTCTCAGGGCTTTAGCTTTCCTAACATGACCCCTGGTTACTCAGACATTCTCTCTGTGTTCTTCCCAGGCTACCTGTCCTCGCTTCCACTCTGTGTAGGCTTCCTTTTTGTGTTTCAGTTTGTCCAGGAGTTTGTTGCTCATCTGTGCAGGCTAATATACCATAGCCTCTGGAGGCTGTCCCTCTTCATCCAGCAAGGGCGGCTGAAAGTCTTTTGAATCAGCTCTTAGGTGCTACAGTGTCTCAGGCAGGCATGTTAACATAATAAAGAACTTTAGCTTAATTGCCAAGAGCTACTGCAACCTGCTGATGGCCTGAGCTGCTCCCATTTGGTCCACGCATCAGAACACCAGTTTGCACAGAGCAGCCTGATTTAGATGATGTAAGCAATATGGCTACACAGCTTCCACTTGGCTTTCAGGGTAGGCAAAAGTTATTTATGCCCTTCTGTATAGGGACTATGCTTTTTTTCTCTCTTACGTGAAAGAAAACTATGTACTACTTATTTTTCCCTTTCCTAGAGAAAGCACTTCTGCTGCATTTATAGTGTTTGCCCTTTCCTTTTGAATTCTGTTAATTTATGTTTGTTTTCACTTCTCCATCCCCAGTGTTGAATCCTACCTTTTCTACTAACTTTTCCTGAATGGCTCTATTTCTCCCTTGAATTCTTTTTCTGGCCTCAAAGTTATTTGCATATGTTTACAGGGAGAGTAGATATGTATGTAAATGGAATTGTCTTTGCCATGGTAATATGATCTTCAAAGGCTTGGACTGCAGTCACTTTGCTGCATTCTTTACATAAAATGTTTGTCTTGGCAAGTCGCTGCCAACAGAGTGCTGCAAGGGCCCAATCCTGCTAATTGCCTTCTGCTCCCACTGAACTCATGGGGCTTATATGTAAAAAAAAAATCCCCAAAACTTTCAAATTAGAGTTGTGTGTTCTTTACGAAGTTATGTTCATATTCTCCCGTTTTGTCCTTTCTTTACTGATGTGATCTGGAAGTGATCATTGGTTCTTAACTTTTCATGACCATTTGGTGTGTGTTAAAATACAGGAGTCTGTAGCAATGGAGGGGGGTAGCTAGGTTCCAGTCCAACACTGAAACGGTGGTTTAGGAGAGGTCTGCCTTTATGAAGGTAGTCCACAGGGAGTCCTGAGTATGAAACATCACTACCTCTTTTTGTACCTGTTTTTTGTCTTTACCAGCAAAGCTGGTCAGTGTATGCTTTACTGTGGGCTGCAAAATCATGAGCTGTGGTGGGTAGGGAAGTTGCACACCCCAGGGCTGGGGAGAGAGGATACGTAATCTCGTGAGCAAAGCAGGAAAAGAGTGCATCAGTACCGTGTGTCATCAGCTTGTATTGCAAGCCCCACCACAAAATTCTCAGTGGAGTGGACCTATGCCTTCCACCAGAGTGGATCTGAGAGGTGATAAGGTGAACACACACAACTACTGCAGCGTCCTCAAGTCTCTCAGTCTAAAACCTTTTCTGTGTTCTAATACTTTCCTGATCTTAGGACTGTGGAAGATGGAAAAGAACCTCCTGCTACTACCCTCAGATCCCATCCTGTTCTTCCAGTAAGAGGTCACATATTGGGAGTTACCCAGGCTCCCAGCCCTCTGGGTGCTTGCTTACAGCATGACCCCTCAAACCTTAGCTGGAAAAACTGCGAGGGGGGAAGAGTGGCATAGGGTGCAGACAGATAATTCACAAGCCTTTTTTGTAGCTATCAGAGCTACTGTCTTACAAACATAGCAGCTATTCATTAGGGAGTATTAATTGGTATAGTCATAAGTGCTACTCACTTTTTGCTCTGGAAACCGAGAGAGAAGCCATTTATATCTGTTGAAGTATTAACTTCTTTAACAGTGAGGGTTGTTCTCAAAATCCCACTTACCACAGGCAGCTGGCCCCAGTTTTTTTCCTGCTTGAACATATGTGGAGTACTGTGGTTTACCCAGGGCTCAAACTAGTCTAGCTGTTTAAGGTAAAAATCAGAATTGTTTATTTAGAAGCTATTTTTGATATCACAAAAGTGATATCAAAAGGTGTTTCAAAAAGAAATAATTTGTGAAGATGCTTGCCACGTGGATAATTTAGCACTTAGGTTGTTGTGGAGTGTTGAGATGTGGCTCTGAAATAGTTGCATGTTTTACTCAAGTCAAGAATGCTGCAGGCAATTGCAAGAACAGGGAGAATTTCAGTAAGGGAGAGTGTGTTAATTATCCATGCAAGATGTTCACACTTGCTGCTGTGTTTCATATGTTTTCATATCTGCTGAAGCAAAGCAAGAAAAGTGTTGTGCTGGGGCAGTGTGCGTGCATGGCTTAGAGCTGAATAGATGTAAATGGTTAAAAAGGGGTTCTCTGCTAGAGAGGAGGAGGGGAAAGTAAGAGTGCATTCCCAAAAAAGTACATTCCCAAAATAAAAAGCTTACATCATGGACCTCTTCAGTTTTCCCACACTTCTTTCCTAATTATTGTCCTGCAGGACAGCTGATCTATTTCAAACAGGAAGCTGTTTACAGATAACACTTGCAACTGTTTTGTCTGATTTGTTGAACTGTCGAAAAGCAAAAGACAACCTCTTTTCAAATTAAAAACTGTCAGACTTCTGTAAACAGCAGCAATGAGGTTCATCTGTGCAGTGTCCCTGCAGGCACAGAGCGTTCTGCAGTTCCCATTTTCTCAGCAGCCATAAGGTAAGAGACTTTTATGCTTTAATTCTGTAGAAACAAGTAGAGGAAAAAGTCTGTGTTTGTTAGGGGGCTGCCTTGTGTAAGACAAAATATGATTGACAATCCCCAAATAGTAAGGGAAGGTAAGGAAAAAAAGAGCTTGATATCTGTGGGGTAACACTGGACCTTTCTACTGTGAAGCAGCCATGTGGGTTAGATCACTGAATTCCTGTTTCGTTTAAGGGGGGTTGTATTTAAAATGTACAAATGCCATTGGAAGAGCTCACTTTCCTTTTAGCAGGGAAGGACAAAACAGTATATGTATTTTAACTTTTTCTACAATTGAAACTTATTTTACTTCATTGATGGGTTGTAATTCCTGGTAACAGATATAGGCAGTTCTCTGTTTTCTGCTTTAAAAAGTGGTCTTTTAATACAGCTGCAAGGCTGGCATTGCAGAAGTGAAACATGACAGAAGGTCCAGTAAGAGCTGGAATTACACCACTGGATAATTAAGAGCAATCTCAATGAAAACCAAATCATGCTGGAAGTAGTACTATGCAGAAATGCTTAATGAGATATAAGGATGTATAAAGATAAAAAATCTTGTTCTAAATGAGCAGGAATATGAGAATAAACCATACTTTGGTAAGCAGAAGGGCACATATGTATGCTTTTTAGTTATGGGCTATGAAAAATTGAGATTCATAAGGGATTTGCGAGTTTCCATTCTGACCTCTGTGCATACATACATATGTGCTCAGTATAGGCAGTGAAATTCTAAAGGGGGATTGTTTTTGAGCAAAATCAAATAGATGTGGAGAATCTTACCCAACTTTACTTGCCATATAGTGAAACAGAGCAACTGGACTGGAAATACTACAACTTTGACCCTTGGGTATTGAAAGATTTTTAAAATATGGCAAATGTAAAAACTGTTACCCTGTGTTTTCTTCTCTGTAGCTGAGATCTTTTATATTTCATATCTATATGATCGTTTACATGATCACGAACATTTAAAGCATTACAGTGATCAGAAAATACAATACAAACACTGATTTAAAGGTCTCACATATAACAATGATACCATCCCTAAAATTTTAGTATGTTACTTATGCAGCACTGGTAAGGTATGCTGATGTTGTAGACAAGAAGTTAGACTTCAAGTTGAGTATTCCTTTTAAAAATGTTTGGACTGTCTTTCATAAAATTCTTAGATGTATCTGTTACAATGAAATTATTGTTTGAATTAATATATGAAAGAAAATATTTAACTAAATTCATAGTCAAAATGGCATTTTAAACATGGCATAGTCCCAGAGTCAGCAGAGAATTGCAGTGTGGAAGCAGCAGAAATCTACTGTGTAATTTGTAACTGTACATTATGTTCAAAACTATTTTTTCTGATTACTTTTGAGTGATTTTACACTGTTTCTAAAACTCTTATTTAGTCATCTTTAGGGCTGTTCAAAAACTCTTGAGCCAGAATCCTTTTGAAGTAGGAAGACTTCTGGCAAAATACCTTTTTAAAGTAAAGTGTCAGTTCTCTGGGATAGTTTAGTTCTTTTGTCAAATTATTTTGGCTGAAAACCAGGAGAGTTTAGCCAAAAATATTCTCATGGTTTCTCTGGGGAAGTGTAGTTTGTGCTTTGCACTGCATTTCACTAGTGGCTGAACTTCACAGCTGAACCACGCTTCCCATACAGCTGCGTGGTCAGGATCTGGCTATTTTAATTTCCCTTGATGAAAGGAGTGTTAAGATGTATTTTGGAAAAGGTAGTGTAGTGAAAGAGGCACAGACTGGGCTCATAAGACATCAGCTGGTCAATAACTAGTTGGCAGCTTCTTAAATTTCGACTCCTTCCTTCTGTTTTGCACATGAGCCATCCTGTTTTTCAGCCGTGAGAGTAGGACCCTTCAAAACAGTGTGATATGTCAGTAGAAGGTTTAAAGCCTTTTGATGTTTTTATCCATGCAAACAACTGTACAAGGGAGAGAATATTTAATAATGTTTCTAAGGCTTTGTTAGTGCTTCTGCCAACTTTTGTGCTAAACGTGCTCCATTTGATATATTCAGTACTGAAAAATGCAAGGGAGCATGGCTGAATTTTAAGATCTTTTAAGAACTCTGAAGTCAAGAGGCAAACAACCTAGTAGGAGCCTGAAGCTTTAGAGTGAGTCATTTTTTGAAAATCCAGCAAGGTCTCATCTCGCCCATTTAAGTGTCTCTTCATAAAAATGTAGTCCTGGGTGATTTGCCTCTAGTTGTATAAGATGTCTGTAGACAAGAAAAGAATGGAAGTTGGTCTGCTCAAGTTCTTCATTAGTGCACCAGTCTCTTACTTGTTCATTAGGATCCAAGGTTCCTTAGCTGCTGGGACTGTTTGGATGCTACTGCCTCAAAAATGTATCAGAAGATTAGTTAGAAGTTCCATAGGGTGTCCTGGAGGCCAGGACAGAGCAGTAAGACAGATGATGGGGAGTTTTAGGGTTTACATTGGTTTCCTTCTGCAACGAATCATAGAACGGTTTGGGTTGGTTAAAAAGTCATCTAGTCCAATAGTACAGCACATGAATGAAGCATAGACATGAACAAAGTGTCACAGTGCTGCAAGGTCGATACCAGGCTCCAGACCAAGAATCAGTAATGTTTAGCTGCTATATGGAGTGAATGGAGGAGACCTAAGTGCTGAAGACGGTGACTCACCACAGACAGCCAAATGTGTGAGGGCCACAGCAGCTGTCTGAAAATTGTTTGTGAGAGAGGTGCTTCATGATTCCCTCTGCTGGATGTAGGAGTGGATAAATTCGCTATCTCTAGTGCCAAGTGCCTGGGGAAACTCAAGTTCCAGGAGGTGGAAGCTTGCGTTGAATGTGTGTGCCCAGTTTTCCTTCAAGCATGGAGGCTTTGAAAAATGGCTCTGAGGAAAAGAGTTTTCTACAGTTCTCTTTGAAAAACGAACTGCTGCTACCCAGCTGTCATGTAATAACATACTGTCCAGGACCACTTACCTGGGAAGCAGGAGATCTAGATGCAGCTCATTGCACTGCTTCAAACCCCCACCTCCCATCTGCTGAAAAGGTGCCCTTGTCACTAACCAACATAGTAATTTGGAAATGGGACCACTGTGGATTGTGTCCACAGCTCCCAAGGCAGTTTCCAATTGTTGATACTGCTTTGAATTTATACAAGAAAAAAGAGAAGGTCTAAACAGTCCAGGGAAGTCTATTCCTTTGGCATGAGAAGCCAGCCTGCATAAGAAGCTAACTTGCAAGAGAGAGGCATCTCCCCACCATGTTTTAGAAGGGAATGGCAGTGTTTTCTATCCTTCCTGTTTATCATGTGCTTAGAGGAGACTGAATGAATTTGGGTATGTTTCCTTGATGGGCATAAATGGACTAGGTGGGAGAATAGTGTCTTGTTCTCTTCAGGCAAGATGTTTACTATCCCTGGTCTGTGCACTGAGAAAAGCTTAGGCACTCAAGTTTTCCAATAAAACCACAGGAACCTACTGCCTCATAAGGTGGCTGACTCGTTAGGAGATGTTTTTGGATGCTTTGAACGTGGGATGAGGCCACAGATACAGATTCAGGGGTAGTGTTGACTTAGGCAGCTCTCATCTGGAGGTTTAGGGGTGAAGAATGTGGGCAAAGAATGGAGAGTGGAAAGAGAAACTGCTTCAGCTTTGGCTGGTTTTTGAGTAGGGATCTTGAAGAGTAAAGCTGTGTCCACAGGTGTGCTTGGGTTCCTGGTGCCTGTCTTTGTCTAGTCTTAAGCGTGGCTCACTCTGTGATTATTTTCTTTTTATCTTGCTTACTAACTGCAGAATAAGTATAAATAATAACAAGAAAACATTCCTACAGACAACACTCTAAGATTTTCAGCTTAATTTGAGTGATTATCAGGCTTAGTTGTGGATCACCCCAAAATCTCCTGTTATGGTGCTGATGATTTTAGCAGATACTGAAACTTGCTGAAAATAGGCATGCATTTATGCATCCTTAGTGGACTCTTTAGAAATGATCCATGGGCCTTCAAGAGACCATGGATGAGATGTTGATTTGATCTCCATGTGGTCTGAATGCCAGAGTCAATCTGCTCATTTGGAAGGACAAAACAATGTAAGTGATTTTATAATTTTTATTCTACTTGTAAGTAGAATTTTTGATTATCATCAGAGAAAGATTTGTAAGAGATCATGTAATTTTTGGGAATTAAAACAAAGAGCTTTAAAAAATTGATATGTGAAAGAACTGGAAATGTTAGATGGCACAGTAATTATGGCCAATCAAGATAAAAACATCAGACAAGAATGTAAGGAAGGCCTAGCCCAGGGAACAGCAAAAAATGTCTTATTACATAGGAAAAGAAAAATGCGTCTCAATGAGCTTCCTTGTCAGAATGGTGTTAAATGAGAAAACAGGTCTCTGATGGCTCACTGGGGTGGAGTTACATTCAGGAAATGTTAAGGAAGCAGATACTGAGAACATGTGGCAGAGCAAGAGAAGGGCTCATCATGCATGCTGGGGAGACTCCAGGGCAATGGATCTGTAGGCAGCACCCGCAGGTGCATTTGCAGTGCAGTGAACTTGAAGTTTAAAGCTAATGTAGAGATAAAGTGAGGTGATGTAACAAGAGCTGTGTTATGAGCTGCAGCTGAAAAACCTCTTTATTGGAGATTTTCTTCTTTTCCTCTTCAATATCATCACAAATTGGGTTTGTTCAACCTGGAGAAGGAAGGCTTTGGGGTGATCTAATTGCAACCTCCCAGTACCTGAAGGGAACCATCAAGAACGATGTGGAGAGACTTTTTACAAGAGCATGTAGTGACAGGACAAGGGGGAAAGGGCTTCAAACTGAAAGAAAGTAGGTTTAGATTAGATATTAGGAAGAAATTCTTTACTGTAAAAGTGGTGAGGCTCTGGAATAGGTTGCCCAGAGAAGTTATGGATACCCCATTCCTGTAACTGTTCAAGGCTGAGTTAGGCAGAGCTCTGAGCAACCTGGTCTAGTGAAAGGTGAC